TTTATAGTCAGCAGAATTATAAAATATGTATACATTGATGTTTTGTTAGTGACCGATTGATTTCAAGTTAGACACGCGGTAAGTCTTCAGTCGGTGTTAGGGGGCGTGGTCGATAGGAGTCATTGACCACTGTCGTTAATGAATATGCTTTAATACAGATGAGTCTAAACTTATTCAATTTTTGCTTTTTTGGGGATACTTTCAAGATTCCCACTATTCAATAGTTTCTATCATTGTAAAAAAACACAAAAAAATGAAATGAATTTATGAGATCTCAAAATACACGGATTGTTTTCCTTGTGGATATTGGTATAAAGAGATATGTTGCCAATGACGTCACACACAATGTAATTAACATTGTTAATATACTTGATATACTTAATATACAAACATGGAACTGATAAAATGACTGTTGTGGTATTTTTTATTTAAGAAATATGTGTATTACATAGATAAATTACATTAACTAGTGCAAACACAACAATCAAATTCAATTTGTTCACATAATATTATAGCAGGAAGAATACATTAAAGCTTGACACATTAATTACGGCCCTTAATACGAATGGTGAAATTTAAACAACAACAACGCAACTACAAAAAGAAAAAAAAAAGAAAAAAGAAAGAAAACTTGAAAAAAAGTAACTGATGTAGTTTTATTCGTAATTGTATGTGGTCTAGATTAATGTATTAAATGATTGTTGAATTATGTTGTGTATTCATGTTGTTTCAGAGAAACATGAGAAAATAATTTAATAATATATATTAACTTAAATTTGTATATTTTTTGTTGCTTCTTTACTTTAAGTGATTGCGTACGCGGAATTTCGGTTTTCGATTTTTTTACTATTGACTATAAAACATGTAACAATCATGTTCTCATGAATATATACTAGGTATTATAAATATATGAGCCGCGTCATGACAAAACCAACCTAATGCGTTTGCGACCAGCATGGATCAAGACCAGCCTGCGCAGTCTGCTGATCAGGATCCATGCTGTTTGCTATCAGTTTCTCTACTTGTTATAGAGTTTGTAAGCGAACAGCATGGATCCTGATCAGACTGCGCGGATGCGCAGGCTGGTCTGGATCCATGCTGGTCGCAAACGCATTATGTTGGTTTTGTCATGACGCGGCTCATCATCGTAAAAATCATGTTCTTTGAATATGTACAAGGTATTATAAATTTTATATATATGTCAAGTAACTCGTTGTTTCTTTTTTACTGAATTGTGCAGTTTATTTGAATTTTTGTTTGCATTTTATTGATTTTAATATTTATATATTATATACATAATATGTTAAAATTTCGTAGTACACGTGATGTTGTTTACTTAGTTGTTATATATAAGATTTATATTCTGTATATCAGTACATGTACATTGTATATACATATTTCTGTCTATAAAATCATTAATCAGTTTGTATTTGAGCCGCGCCACGACAAAACCAACATAATGCGTTTGCGACCAGTATGGATCAAGACCAGCCTGCGCATCCGCGCATTCTGTCAGGATCCATGCTGTTCTCTTACAAACCCTATTGCAGGTAAAGAAACTGATAGCGAACAGCATGGATCCTGATCAGACTGCGCGGATGCGCAGGCTGGTCTGGATCCATGCTGATCGCAAACGCATTATGTTGGTTTTGTCATGGCGCGGCTCATTTAGTTTTTAATCATTTTGTATGAGTTCTATATATTGTTGATTATTAAAAGGTGAATGAAACTTACATACACTAAGTCTTAAACGTCTCTAAATAATACCCACGCACACCCTCAGCTTTCGTTAATTATGTACTTGTTTTATTAGAAACTTAATAAATACATTTGTGTATGTTCCAATTTAGTATGTATTCTTTGTCCTTTTCTGTAATAAGTTGTTGCAGCGGAAAAAAACAGAGAAGAAATTCAATGTGTCTCCAGAACCAGAAACATTTACTGAAATATCACTATATCATGATTTAGGAAAACTTATAAGATTCATTTAATTAAAAAAAGAAAGGGGACAGGGAGAAGAAAAACACAGTTCAGTTCGTAGTACAAAGGGAAAATGCGAATTCTCCAATCGTTCAGAACGACACTTGTGATGTACATATATTTATGGAAAGCCATGACTGCCTTAATTATATTGTTCTTTTTTAATTATTCATCCACGTGGATTATATATAAATATATAAGTTCACTTCGACCATATATGAATTGAAAACACCTAATTACACCGGGAGTCATTATATTAATCCACAGTTACAATATTTGAAAGCATACCGTCAGTGTATGAAACAAAGGTAGCAATATATATAAGTTGATTTCCTAAATATATTATCCCATATATAGACATATATGGAACCAGATATCTTTACATGAATCCGAATCATCAATGCATGTATATTAATTCAATTCCTTTTATGATATAATATATGAAACCTTGTTTTTGAACAATGTATGAATCCGAACTTGATTATCACATTATATGATACCAGTTCTTCAATATATAAGTAGCTATGCATGAAACTAGATGTCCTTATATGAAACCGAATTATCAATATATTAATTCATTTTTACAATTTATGAAAGCATTAAATCAATGTATTGAACCGAAGAAACAGGACAGTATATTAAATTAGTTTATTTTCACTTTGTATGATAGCAATTTTTCATTATATCAGGTACGTTGTGTAAGGATCTGACATTTTAGCATAATTCTGAAATGTACTTACAACAGAACTTATAATGAAATCCAAGTGGCATGGTGAAATCCTATAGCTTCATATATTGTTGACTTCTACAAGAAAAAGATTCACTTACCTGATTGATCTGAAGGATCACTGTATTGACACTCATTGACTTTGCAATTTAAGCTGATAGAAATGTTAAACTTAACTTATTGATAGCAGAAAACTGATTTTCTCTTTACATTTTCTGTGTAGCAGACGGCCAATGACAGACATGTTTGAAATCTGTCACTTCATATTTTATATTGAAGATTTCTTATTGTTAATATCAATTTCAGTCAAATTCAATTCAAGAACGTAATTTATGTAAAGTTTATGATTGATTAAGGTCAGAAATCCTTAAGTGTTCACTACATGTTTTTGTATATTAACGATTTTCAGATTCGGATTCAGAAATCCGGCCATCTGTCCATCTGTCCATTGGAGGATTTCCGGATTTCTGTTGTTTCATTGGTGGATTTCAAACATAGAACCTTATAAAAGTCGGAATCCAACCAATGTTTGTCATTGGGGGGGGGGGGGGGGCTCCGTGGCCTCATATGAGGAAGCCATCCAGCTGGCTTACGGAAGGTCGGTGGTTCTACCCAGGTGCCCGCTCGTGTCTGAAATAATGCCCAGAGGGGCACCTGGGGTCTTCCTCCACCAATAAAGCTGGAAAAAAAATCAACGGGAAAATCTCGGCGGGACGCTCTAGGATGGCCCGTCGCCCATATGGGTTTCCGGCGGCGACCTTAAATAAACGCATAAAAAAAATGTTGTCACTTCGGTCTTGACCTCCAAGTAGTGTAAATAAAGTTTTAAACCGCCAAAGTTCAAATTCAATAAATATCTTACAAACGTTATTGTTATCCAAACTTGTAAGTTGGTATGTACTTAAATCCAATATTATTAACTCACTAGACACTGTTGTTGCCGAAATACTTGTTATAAACTTAGAAAACTGTATAGAATTGTATTTATTATCCCCATCCTGACATACGTTTACAGTATATTAACGTTAATATACATACCTGATTATATGAAACTAAAGTAGCCATGTATGGAACCAGATGTGCTTATATGAAACCGAATTATCAATATATCAATTCATTTTGACAATCTGTGAAACCATTTTATTAATGTATGGAACCGAAGTGTCATTTTATAAGATGAATATTATATGATACTGGTGCCAGTTTTTCAATATATGGCACGTACCAAAGTCATTAACCAAAGTAGCCATGAATGGAACCAGATTGCCTTACATAAAATCAAATTATCAATATGACAGTATATTAAATCATTTAATCAATGTATGGAACCGAAGTAGCATTTTATAAGATGAACATCCCACTATATAATACCCTTTCTTCAATGTATGGAACCAAAGTAGCTGTGTACTGTATGGAACCAGAAGTCTGATGTCCTTATATGAAACTGAATTATAAATATTAATAGATATATTGAGAAAATCAACTTATATATAGCTTGCTGGTTCGAGTTTTCTTACTGAAGCTCTTTTTAGCTTGCTAAAAAAGTAGTCCTTTTATCTGAAGGATCGTTGCGGGAAGTCCCGTCACTCCACGGAATTAGAACGGCTTATTACGGGAGAAAGTACCAATTTAAACCGAAAGTAGAATTTCGGATTTTCCATAAAAATTGTGAAAAGAAGTTGACTGTAAGTTATTTCTAAAATTTAACTTTTTCACGTTTTTTTCCTTTTATTAAATCTGATATTTTATATTTCCACATAATTCATTAAGTAAGAAAGCTTTGATTGTCACAATGTAAAGTGGATATGATGTTGATTTAAAAATATCAATGATAGGTAAATGACAAATCTTTCACAAATTTAGCACTTACCGGTAGAAATAATCCTTGGAACTCCTGATATTGAATAGTTTAACTGTTTAAGGGGATAGGTTGCCCTGTGGTTAAGGTTTCTGCCTTTCAACCCAGGCGTCATGGGTTCGAGCCCTACTTGAATCATGACGATGTTTTTTCATACAACACCAGCACTTTTTCAAGTTTTTGGTTCCTGGGAAGTGGACTTAAAAGTGATTAATATAAGTTGCAAGAACTTGTTTCACAATCGACCTTAAATAAAAATGTTTCAACCAACTGATTTAACAGTACTGTACATAGTCCAGTCACTTTTAATTGGTTATTGTTTATTATTTTATGGCATATTTGAAGCCAGAGTAAATTTGTACTCATTTTGAGATCATATATATGTATAAACAAGTCAACTTCCTGTTAACTCAAGAAAGATTCAAATTGAAATACTGAGGCTCCCAAGAATGGTACAGCGATCGGAAATAACATACTTGTAATCGCAAGACGGGGTACACATTGAATTGTATAGGCAGGATACAGTGATTTCTTTTATATACTGTGAAGTTGTTATAACAGAATGAAAACAGATCTCGAGAAAAAGAGAACCGTCATAGAGGATATTAAATAAGCCCTGTACATTCAATCAGAGATTTTATATTTTCGATCCTTACAGATCGTTTGACCAAACATTATTGTTGTGTTTGTGGTATTTTTTAGTTTCTACTATTTCGCTTCGATTTGGGTGGTTCCAATATTCCTGAATCACCTGTAGGATATGTTGCCTGCTTTTTAACTTTGTCTTTTGACATCTTGTCTGTGATAACCTCTGATTCCCTTCCAAATTTCCATATTGTGTAGTTCTACCAATTGTTTTTTTCCTTTAGGGCACATGCTTTATATTACTTTGGGACCATACACGGCTTTTCATTGAATGGCACAGAAGTGTCACAGTGAAGGTTCCATGGTAACCGCTGTATGAACACATCTGCTGATGTTTCTAAATTCAAAATTTTGCTATTTCATGTTTAAATGTTGAATTCTGCTTAAGCCGATGCTGCAATGTATGGGGCGTGTACGGTACTTTGCACTTGATAGTACCGTCCATGAACAGGCTCAATTTAACTGAGCCTGCAACATTTTCAATTTTATCGTAGGGATTCTTATTTTCTCTATTTTAACATAATAAACTGCAGTCACATTGTCTAAATGTTAGTATCGTGATATAACCAAGTTGGGGTGGTATTAATATCATTATACATTTTCAGCAGCGATAGTCAACTCCACAGTGTATTATTGATTTGGTTGAATTATTTTGTATATATTATAATATGTTATACTGTTTATATAGTGATACTGATGAACCTAGTGATTCAAAATAAAAATATTTCTTCTTGTTGTTATAATCAATCAAATACAGGAATAATAATGATACATAGATTTATCTTTTTGCAGTGTTTATGACAATCATGAGTGCAGAAAGCGAGAAAAAGAAATCGAAGAAGAAATCAAAGCATCATAGAAGAGAACATGATGATGATTTTGTTGAAAAGGAAGTGGCAAAAGCAATGAAGCAGGTAAGACTGTTTGCTGCATACATTTTTATCATTTTTAATCCTTATCCTGCCGAAACAAAAAGTGATCAGTCAAAACTGTTGCCCTGAAGTTTCAGGCCAAAGGCCGAGGGAAACAGTTCCAACTGTCATCCTTGATACAAAAGGACAACAGTTTAATGTTCCGCAAACACTCATGAAATAACTGTTTTATTACCTAATACTTTGCAATCAAACTACAATATATATTGCAACAACATACAATTAACATTTTTATACCCCCGCACAACAAAGTTGTAAGGAGGGGTATACTGGAATCAGCTTGTCCGTCCGTCAGTTTTTCTTGTCAGCCCAATAACTTTTCTCTGACCCTGGGTCTTCATATTTAGTATTGAGATTGGTCATGATTATTAGATGACCCTATTGAGTTTGAGGTCACCAGGTCAAAAGTCAAGGACACAGGGGCCTTCACTAAACAAAAGCTTATCTGCCCAAAAAATTTAGAATCCTTTGACCCCCAGTCTTCATATTTAGCATGGAGGTTAGTCATGATCAGTAGATGACTCCTATTGATTTTGAGGTCACCAGGTCAAAGGTCAAGGTCACAGGGGCCTTGACTTCAAAAAGCTTGTCCGCCCAATAACTTAAGATTCCTTTGACCTACAGTCTTCATATTTGGCATGGAGGTTAGTCATGATTAGTAGATGACCCCTATTGATTTTGAGGTCACTAGGTCAAAGGTCAAGGTCACAGGGGCCTTGACTTCAAAAAGCTTGTCCGCCCAATAACTTAAGATTCCTTTGACCCACAGTCTTCATATTGTGCATGGAGGTTAGTCATGATTAGTAGATGACCCCTATTGATTTTGAGGTCACCAGGTCAAAGGTCAAGGTCACAGGGGCCTTGACTTCAAAAAGCTTGTCCGCCCAATAACTTTAGATTCCTTTGACCCACAGTCTTCATATTTGGAATGGAGGTTAGTCATGATTAGTAGATGACCCATATTGATTTTGAGGTCACCAGGTCAAAGGTCAATGTCACAGGGACTTTGACTTCAAAAAGTTTGTCTGCCCAATAACTTTAGATTCCTTTGACCCACAGTCTTCATATTTGGCATGGATGTTGATCATGACTATAAGGTGACCCCTATTGATTTTGAGGTCACTGGGTCAAAGGTCAAGGTCACAGGGACCTTGACAAAAAAAAGCTTTTCTTCTCAATTACTAAAGAATGTCCTGTCCACAATGTATTGATTTTGACATTTTCACATTTGAAGCATGTAGAATACATAACTTAGAAATGCACTGGCTTAGTAACCTCAGATTTGGCAGGGAGGTTGTCCTTGAGCTCTAAATGGCCACTGTTGATTCTGACAAAGTGGTATGTGGGGGTATTCACGCCATGATATTGGCAGTTCTAGTTATAACTGTTTTAATTGTTCACAACCTAATCCTACAGACAAACCAATAACAAAAATACCTGTGGCATAGACAGGGGTGTAAGAGCATAAAATGTTAACCGGTCAACAGTTCATTTCATCACTGAAAAGGATTTCAGCCATTCAATTAAACTGTTGTAAATAAGGAATTAGTATTTGTAGAAAGCATTAGGTGATAACATTTTTTGAATCTAAGAGTTGTCAATTATCATGCTGTCATGAAGCTGATTATGTTGCTGTAAAAGTGGATATTCCGCATTTCTAAAAGTAAGCGAAAATTAAAGACATTATGCAAATTAAAGACATTATGCATGAGGAAATATGAGCGAATCGTGCAAGAGTAGAATTTAATGATAAATTGGTTGATATTTATGCTAGAAGAAATTTTAGCGATTTTAATTAATTCCCTAAATTCCCAAACACTTCAGCGTCACTATTTTAACCACTTATACAGTATCTTTAATACTTTAACAGTTAGTTTTCTAAGCATATAAACATGGGCAATGTATGTACATGTTTTGTGAGTTGTATTATATTTAAGATGGAGAAGGCAATGAAGCAAGCAAAAATTGCAGAAAAAGATGCACGAAGGGCTAGCAAGGAAGAGTTACGGGCAAGACGCAATGTGGAAGTAGCTGGTGATGAATCTGGTGAGGGTAGAGCAGGTAAATATTTAACAATGTTACACCTATGCTATAATAGTGAGCGTCGCAAAAAAATCTTTTGCCAAAATAAGAAAATAACAGCCAACTTTATGAAATAATCGCAAATGGCAACCATGGCAACTGAAAGCCTGATCTTTGTGTGTATGACTTTCTGGCAGAACCAATTATTAGAATATTAGAATGACTTTGCCCATATTACAGAACCAATCACAACACAAGTATAAATTATTTGCTCTGATTTTTTAACACATGAATTTTTTTTTGAGGAATCACAGAAGTAGAAATCACAGTATCCATGAAGTATTTATACAGGAAATGCTGCTTAGTTTGCCAAGCATTATCTTTACTGATCCGCAGCTAATGTTGGTCATAGTCATAGAATAAAGCAATTGACATTTTATACTAAAGAAACCTTGCTTGGAAGAACACAATGTCTTATCAAGACTTTGAATGAATACTTAAATGTTCAAGTAAATTTAACAGTACATGCTGGCTGCCCCTCCCCCGCCCCCCCCCCCCCCCCCCCCCCCCAAAAAAAAGAGGGTTTTTTTCATTGTTTACATCACTACATTGCCTCTTTCTTTTACTTAATTTTCACATAATAAATACATGTATATTAAAATGTTCTGTATGAACAGGATTGTGTTATTTATCTACATTTGTTCCTGATATAAAAAAAAGAAACAATAGATATAAAATTTTATCAATTTATTTTATCTGTATATAAGAGGTAAAACAGTTTTACCATTATTTTGTTTAATGATAATACAGGAAATGTAAGGATGTATAAGGAAATGTAATTTAACTTCTATTTACACAAACAGGTATAACAGTGATACGTAACACAGTAACTCATCCGGGAACTTTTATCCATGTAGAATCTGCTGAAAATATTCAGGTATACATGTACATATATTTTGATAGGAATGTTAAAGGCACATTATGCCTCAGAAGTCCATTTTTTTAAATTCTTTAGAAATGTCAAAAATGTGTTAAATGATGTTAAAAAAAAATGGAATAAGTGTATGTATATAACTGAAAATAAGTAGTACTGAACATGCTGTAATCTGAATATCAAGAAATTATTTTCCGCTAGTGTCGTACCGTATTCGATCAGATCGAAAAAAATACATTGTTGAGTACAACTATAATACAAACAATTGTCATATCTTGTTCTAAAAAAACTAAGATACCCGGTAATATTTAGAATCAATTTAATACTTTTTGGCCCCTTAGTCAAATACTAACCTTGATTAATGGTTATTGAATTTTTTAACCATTTAAACGGATAAATGTGACACCCCTATTGTTAAACACACCATTGTTGCACTTCTTCAGGGGGCCATTCAGAAATAGTTTGTTGCAATAACAGCCCCGTTAGTTTCAATATGAAAACATAACTGTCAAATGACATTGCACTAGCACATGGAAAGCATGACAAAATGGTTCTTTACATGAAATGGCAGAATTATCAAATTAGATGTATACTTTAATGCAAGTATCAAGGTCTTGTTTAAAGAGCTTAGAGTTAAAGCAGACCACTAGTGTTTTAAAGGATATATATAGTATAAAGAAAAGTGCCGTGTTTGGTTTGGAAATTGTCTTAAGTTGGTAAGGTTTTACTTTTCTCAGATTGGGTCAAACAACACTATGCACATTCATAAAGATAAGAAAGGAAGGACATCTTCTAGACAAGATTCCTCTACAGACAGTGATGATGGCTGTAGTAACCCTCCAGCAAGAAGAACCCCTTCAGTACCACTGCAGGACAAAGATCCGAGCCAATTAACAGAAGCTGAAAAGAAACTTCTGGAAGTACTAAGTAAGTAGCTTGTTACAGTGGATGGCTTTTTTTCTCTGTTATTCAATACCAACAATATCAATCCCCTTATCCCCCACCCCTTAATAGTTGAACCAATTCATTTCTTTGAGATTATCTCTTCTTACCTTAATTGTTTGTATACAAATATAATGGTCCTTAATGTAATATAATATTATTTATGTAAATATACATATTACTCCTGGCAAAATTGTAGGGATTGTGTAGTTCTTTAAATAAGTTTATTTTTTTTACAAGATTAGAGCTTCAAATGATCTTTTGTTTGCAGTTTCTAGAGTTGTATATTAAAGAAACAATAATACTTGTTTAACATTTGAACATTAAAAAAGAAAACCCTATGAATTTGTGTGAAACTGGCATGAAACTGTTCATAGTTTGATTAAAAGATTTCAGTATAAAAACAAGGTAATAGTAATAGATGGTGAGAAGACTTGGTGTTGGTGCTTATTTTTCTCTCCTTTGAAATGAATAATGTCAATATATACTACGATTTAAGATAGAAAAATCAAATTCTTGCCTCAATGACACTATGATCTAAACCAAATCCATGGAAAAATGCCCAAGCATACAGTTAGAAAACAGGCAGCAGAATGGACAGGTAGATGGGTAACTATATGAGACCTAGTTTTAGCAGACACTTGTATTACAGAGGGATAAGAAGCATTGAAATAGAAAATTTTCAAACCCTGATCGACAATCCTTTATACAAGATTCCTTGGCCCTTTGAGTTGACAATTTTCCGCTATCTTGTTCTACATAAGGGAATTACATTTTAGTCCATTGCAGAGAATAATTTACATCTTCTTGCTTTTTATTACTTTTTTATACATTTTTGCGACTGCGTTATTTAATTACCTTAACCAATTTTGGATAACATGACAGCGTTCATAAATATATATCGGAAAAATTTCTCATGTCAAACATGGTCTCGGACAATCTCGCAAAAATGTGAACTTGCGTGATGATAACTCCCTTATACAGATTTTAAGTGTATGACATCATAGCTCCCTCTCCATTTCAATATAGCTCTTTGATGTTAGGGAGCTCAATAAAAAAAATAAGCAGTCAAAAAGCCGTGTAATGTCTTGTAGACTACAGATCTATACAGGAAGGCTTATCTTATTGTATACTGGTGACATCGGATAGTTTAAATTGCTACTGGCTGTGTGATAAACAAGATAAATGTCAATCTTTCTAAAGTTTAGAATGATCTACTTATTTCTTACATGTAGTTCTGATTACCACCGTATACGTTTTGCCTTTATTGTGATTCAAATTTAAAAAAAAAACTATTTTTAGCCATACAATCAAACCGTTCTTAGACTTCTACCCACTTCTCTATTGTTTCTTCATCAGACATATACTAGTAATTTTGATTTAATTTTTCAGAATCTGAAAGAGAAGTCACTCCAGGTGATATGGTTGTTTGCTCCCAACATGTTGGAAACTGGAGAAGATTTTGTAAGTACTAGAGCATGATTTAATGTTATGTTACTTCTCCTTGTGCCAGATTTTCCCTTCATTATTATCAGAAAATATTATTAAATCCATCGAGAAATTACATAATAATTGATCAATGCAGTTTTATAAAAGAAATTCCTTGACCTTTGACCTACAAACCTGGGTCTTACATGCTTCACATCCTTTAAATATGTGTACACTTATGCAAAATTGTTTTAAAATCCATCCATGAATAACAAAGTTACAGACTGGACAAAATTGGACACAGATTATTAAAAAACAATATTCCACCCATTGAAGGAATAAAAAATTATGTATTAAACACCCTTATACATCATAACTCGTGTATTTTAACAAAGACTTCACATACAAGTCAAATGTGCATTCATAGGGTTTTATTTCATCAAATGTGGAAGGCAGTTTGAAATAGAGAATTGGGTTTAATAATGGTTTTATAATGGTTATTACACACCCTGCTTGTGGATCAATAAAAGTTGCACTGCCATTGTTTAGGCTAAAAGGTTACATGTACTTCCTTGCTTGAGCTATTCATAGCCTATTTTGAGTAAAAAGTGTTGCAACACTTTTCAGTTTTGGGTCATTTTTCACAATTAAAATAATTATTCTGAAAAAAAGGTGAGAGCAAATGATTTGAAATTTTCCACACACGTTATTATACTTATATACTTACATCAAATGTATCTCGAAAAAATAATTCCAGTCCTGTCAAAAAAAAAAAAAATCCTCAGTGGAATCCCTTTCAAGTAGTGTTTATTATTTCTTACCACACTTTTTCATTACAAAATCTTGTATATCAAATTGTAGTCACATTCTAGTTTCACTAATGTTAAGACATTTTACAATTACAGTACGTTATCTTGGACTGAATGAACCATTAATAGAACAGTTACACATGGACTACCATGCAGAAGGTGTTAGGCAGATTATTTATCAGGGTGTCATAGAATGGACTAGGAAAGAAGGAAGGGAGGCAACTATTGGAGCACTAGCTAAAATATTACAGAAAGTGGACGTCACAGAGGCTATATATCAGTTACAGCCTTGACAACAACTATAGCTAACTTTTATAAGAAAAAAATTACATTGTTCATACAGTTTGAATATCAGGTAGTTAAATAATGCAAGGAAAAAGAAATTTTGCTAAGTTTGAAGGCGTTTAAATATGTTATTTAATTAGTGTAGATTATCAAGGTTATTATATAATTGGTAGACCAGAGCACATATCTGGTTGCTTTTTTTCTTTAAAAAGATTAGTGGTATCAGAGATGTAGATAACAGCGATAAGCAGCTCCTATATACTCCATTGAAATATCATTCATGCCTATCAAAAAGAGAAAAATTAGGCATTTTGTAGCAATTAAAACTTAATGGATGTAAATTTGATCCTTTTATATCATACACAGTTTGAAAGTTAAATCTTTTATCTATTGCTGCATGTTAAAATATTGGTAACTTTCATTGCCTTTCACTTAGAAAAACATAAATTATCAGAACATACCCACTGAGCCATTTTTTTTTTGTCATATGAATAGTTTTGTAATAAAAATTAATAAGTAGTTCCTTTTAAAAATTAATGCATCATTTATTTAAATGGGAACTGTAAATGTTTTTACCTGCAGCCATACGGCAAATGCATAAGCTTTCAGGAAATGTATTATTTATCTGGTTAATAAGTTTTACTTGCTTCAAGTTTTAAGTATGCATGCATGATATCTTAACTGGCTAGGATTGAGTTGCCGATGTCTCTGGTGGTATATCTAGTGTTCCATGTATGGAAAAAAAGCCTGAACAAACTTGCTATACTGTTTTCTAATGATACAACACTTTTCTAGCCACAGGTATGATTTAAAAAAAATTGTGTTACATGAATAATTGCTGTCGATTGGAAGGTACATAAATACTCATACATTATATTCCTGTATTATTTGTTTGAAACATTGTAACTAGATGATAAGACGTTATTTTATGATTTTTTTATTGGCCAAGGTCTGGCCAACCTTTCAGGTTTTAGGGGATAGCCCCTGTATTAGTCAGGTTTTAGAATGTATGTTTAAATTACGACAAAGTGTAAGATTTATTGATGTCATGCTAAATTGTAATATAACTAAAGAAAAATCAATAAATTATATTTGCAAGTTGATGATGTTTTGTTAACAATTTACTTATTTACTGGTTTAACCTAGAAATATGTCAAGTCGTGGAACCATTGATGTCAGGTGAAGTATTGAGGCAGTTATGAGCAAGACACTAACTTACATAGGTTTAACATTAACCCTTTTAATGCCTTATCTTGTAGCATCTACATGTATCTGCCAACAAAACAGTCATTATACACACAGGCTGGAAGAATAAACTATACTACATGTACAAGTTGAGATATGCTATTTCATGTATTTGGCACTTTCTAGCATATCAGACAGGATAATCTACTCTTATACAGGTGCTAGAAAAATTTGCCTTACACCACCCATGTAAGACAGGTCAGGAACCTTTCTCGCACACCTTTTATGAATGAATTGCATTCATTTTTCCACTATGAATGAAGTTGTAAATTCATACGCTACTATGAGAAGAAAGTGCTACATGAAAATATTAGTTTTTGTGATTTCTTTACGAAATATGATTAATATTCAATATTCAAGAAAAAGAATCAAACATCAGCTACCGGTACATCTAGCTTTAGGGTAACTGTTTAGTGGAAACTCGGCAGAGCCTTGTTATGGCTGTAAACAGTTACCTTCGAGCTAGATATTCGGGTCTGTACCTGAGTAGCCAGTGTAAGATCCTTATCATCTTTCCTCTTAGAGAGATTTTGATCCAGAAAAAAGGTTTCATTGAATTTAGCTTATCTATTTTGTCTAGCCCAAAGACTTGTCGACAACATATTACACTGTCCATGTCATCTATGACAATTGGTTTCTGCATAATAACTTTTGTTGCATTTATATTTGGAATGTAAAGTATGCTATATTAAACACAAGTACTATTTTTAAATGCAATCTACTTGCTGTTTGTGTGTGTGCATGTGTGCTTGCTTGTTACTGTTCCAAGCGGTACCCCTCTTTGTTCCTTCACTTGTCTGTATGGTTACTTGTTTTGAATGTTCGCATGTTTTGTGATGTCTACCTTATTAAATTGACGTTAAGCGTAAGTATTTTCTCACCCTTCACCCATTTTTGACCCTTGTCCCTTTAATTTGCATATGGGCCCCATTATTGTTTTTATTATTTCATGCATAACTTATCCCTCTCCTCCTTTTACCGCCCTTATGTCCAATCCCGGTTTGGTTTGCTGCCTTCTGGGTGCCTTGCTATGGTGGCTTGAGTGTGTTGAGGGCTGCGTCCTGTGAATGTTGCCTTTGCCTTGTTGACCTTTATTCTTGTCTTTTTCTAAGCTTAATAAGGGTTCATCTGCATTTTCAGACTCGAGATTACGGACCCCATCAACTTAATACTGTCAAGTTACTTTCCTTTATATACAAGTATTCTGAGAACTTGTAGGTTTCCACAGGGTAGCTTCAATGTCAATGATTGTTTGTAATATTTAGTATACAATCAATTTATTATTGATAGAGTAATATGCTATTTTTGTGTTGCCTGCTAGAGTAAAAATATATTGTAGAGATCCTTTCACATCCAGGAACAAATTCAACAATTTTTTACAACAGTAAATTTGCTAACCATCTTTGAAACACTTTTTCTTCTATTATACCCTTGGTAAAATTTGTCATCGCATACATATTGCCCTGCCTCAGAGAAACTTTTGTTAGGTTTTAGATTTAGTGATCTGTATAGTATTTTTATCATCTTTATACACAGGTAGAATTTCAGGACATACTAAAAATGTGTATTATTGTATGACATTGTTGGTCCATTCTGTCAGTAGACAATTGGTTAGAGCATTAAAACTATTGAAATATTTCATTGAGTGTGTTTTTATTTAGCAAGTAAATATGTTATATCAAAGCACAGGTCAAGTTGGAGTTTTGCTGCAATCACTTATTACTGATAGAGTTATGCCCCTTCTTAACCAAATTTTCTGTGAAATTAATGGTTTTTGCATGATAACTTGGAAGATTTCAGTGATTGTGTTTATACTTGGCTTGAGAGTACATGTATGTTATATCAATACACAGGTCAAGCTTGATTTTCCCTGAAATAAACTTTATTATTTATAGAGTTATGCCCCTTTTATAAGCATTTTTCTGTTAAATTATTGGTTTTCGCAAGATAAATTGCAGGCATATTTTTGTCCATCGGATACTTTCTTTTAAATTTGCCGTCTGACTCAGATGTATGATATGCCAACTCAGCAGAACTTTTGCTGGGATTGCGGTTGAAAAAATATATTTCCTTCATGAAGTTCCAGGCTTTATATACTCCTATTATATGTATGTAATGTATACAAGTAGGCTTTATTTACCCCTATTACATGTATATGTACAATGTATACAAGTAAGGTGCAAATAAACATTTATCCGTTAGTAAATTCTTCTTAGAATTGTTGCATGCTAACACTATAAAATATATTATAGTTCTTGCAGCATAGGGAACTAAGAACATAAAGTAAGCATATTTAAGTTATCTAGAAACAATTTTAGCAAGACTGAGCATTTTTATGTCCAGGTCTTTTTGTGTTATCTTGTACTGTATAGAAAATATAGACACCATTTTGAAAAGTAAGAACTTACAAACTACAAGTCTTCCAAATTCTTCAAGTTATATGCCTGCAGAAGTAATGAATGGTGTTTAATACAAGTCTTTTAATATACCTTTTACAATTTTAACACATTGGATATGGAAATAAAAATAAAAATCTGGTTAGACTTGGCATATTTCATTTATTAGGGTAAAAAATATACCTAAAATTTGAAGATAAAAAGTATAATGTAAAGTTGTTTCTATTTATATCTATGTATTTCTTAGAGAGACATGTCAAAAGGTAAACATGTGGACTTTGTATAAATATAAAACAACAAGAATGAGATAACTCGGATTTCAAATTTTGTTAGAGGAATATGAAGTTTTGTTGCAGAAATATGGAATTTTATTTTTTACTTATCAAGGAAAATTCATGAATGATTAACTCTTATGGTATTCTTATTTATTACTTTCTACATATTATTTCTTTAAATTGTATCTATAAACAAGACCTGTCATTGGATTCTTGGAAACAGACAAATGCCCACCATGAAAATTTTGAAAAAGCATTAAAGAAAGTAACATATTATGTGAACAAAGAAAATAATTTACACCTTGCAAACAACACTTTCAATCCATGTAAATTACCATTATAAATATTAAATTCATGCAAAAAAACCCTTACTGTGTTAGTCATGCAGTAGAAATATGGTGATAAATACTGCAAATATCAGTCATTCATTACATTTATTGTATAATTAATATTTTTGCTTTTTGAATCTGAGGGCTGATTTACTTAAATTTTCTTGGCTCGTGCATGACATGCAGCTTTTAAACAAATATATCAACTTAATCTATACAATTTACAAAAATAAAACAACTTGTGGGTCATGATGGCCCTCAATCATTCACCTCAGTATCTCTGCTAAAATTTCATAATTTGTGGTTGTGTAAATTTATTTTAAACTTAAGCCAATGGATGGCAAATTTGTTCATTCACCTCAGTATCTCTGCTAAAATTTCATAATTTGTGGTTGTGTAAATTTATTTTAAACTTAAGCCAATGGATGGCAAATTTGTTATATTTCTGTGTAAAAAAAATGTATAGGGGCAAACAGCTCTATCAAGTGGTGGTACACATAGGTTACTCCAAGACAGGAAGCAAGATCTTCTGATGATATAAATTGTGAACAAGACTGTCTCAAATTAGAATAACAATAATGAAACTATTTTAGTGCATTTTTAAAACTGTTGATACATGAATAATGGACATTAGGCAGTCTAAGAATTTCAGCATAATCATAAAATGGTCACTGGTAAGTTAAATATAAAGAAAGAAAGAAAAAAAACACATATAAAGCAAAAACAGTTTTTACTCGAAAGATATAAGAAGATTTCAGGCTCGACAAATAGTTTTCCCCTCCACATTTCTTTTGAAACTGTAGATACAAAGAACTAATAATATTGCACTCTAAAATCTATATCCCATGGTAATGCTTCAAATGTACATAAAATTGTTATGTAGCACTTCAAAACACACATGGAATCTTTATGTAAGTTAGCACTTCAAATGTACATAAAATTGTTATGTAGCACTTCAAAACACACATGGAATCTTTATGTAAGTTAGCACTTCAAAATGTACATACAATCTACATATCATGTAGCACATCAAATGTACATAAAATATATATATCATGTAGCACTTCATATAGCACTTCAAAAATGCGCACATCAATTAAACCTATGTCTACCAATTTACCAAATCCCCCCCCCCTCTTAATCACTTCATCTCAATATATTTTCAAAAGAGAAGCAAAACCAAAGAGATGAAAAATAAGATAGTAGACAGTAAATTATATAACATATCCTGGCTTTAATTAAGTCATTTAATTATCAACAAATCAAGGACATATATAATTTTTAAATATAAATGATGTTTGTGGGGGAAAAAATACATAATTCAGGTGAAAAATATAAAAATTTGACCTTTTCATCCTAAACATTTCAAGCTTAATATATCTTAAAGCTGCATGCCTCCAGTTCAGCCAAAATATTTCATGAAAACAAGACTTGAGAAAAATGTACAAAAAGTAAAAAGATTCAAGTAATAACTTACATGTTGTGTGAGATTAATGACTGGTTTTGCAGTATTTTATCTTTCTGGTAACTTAAGTGGAAAGTAAGTGCTATTTGTAAAGTGTAAATTACTTTGTTCACTTTACAACATATACTTCATTATACTTTTAATATTCAAAATTTTCATGAATAGCATAAATCTGGAGACATGCGGCCTTAAAGATGATGAACACATTTGACATAAGTATAACTGATTCTTGTATTGAAAAAGAAACAAAGTACGACATAAAATATAAATTAACAACATTTTTTTATCAAACGGTGCTAGTTTTTTATAAATAAGTGTACACTTGGATGGTATAACCTTACCAACTTACCACATTCACATGAAAGTACACAATATATACTTACATAATATATTTAGTTATCATAAACTATAAAAAAAAGTTTAATTAGTTGACCATTTGATTACCTTGAAAAACAGGTCTTTAATTTTTTGCCAATAAATACAACACATAAAATATATACATGTCAGAATCTAGATCAAAATATTCAGAAAATATTAACAGACACTACCTACATACACAAACAAATACTGTATAAAATCAATTCCAAAACCTGAAAGACTTTTAATACTTTACTAAAAGCAAGCACATTGCAAAACTGACACACTTTGTTTTCTAAGGACAATGAATGGTCAATATTGCATTAAACCATCATAAACAAAATGCTGTATGGCAGATATCATGCTAAACTTCTTTCTGTGATTGATAAACAACAACAACAGGTAATTTACTAATGTTTTCTAAATGTAATACTAAAAAGGATATAATTCAGTGAGTTAGGCTTCTTGGTTACTGACCAACAAATATGACACCATCAATACATTAGTAATGTCTCAAAGAATACCTTTTGTAGTTGTAGAGAGAGACCTTGCATGCTAAATTTAGACCTCCACAAGGTAGTATAATTCAGTCTAAACTCTAAAGCTAGACTGACGGAGGTTAGAAATTATCTACAATAATTATCATCAAGATATGATATACTATACTCAAATTTGATATAAGAAAATATTGGTAATTACTACACAGTCTCTTTGTAAATATAAAATACACATGTTTTGAAGTGTATACATCTAAAACCCTACAAACAACAGGTTGTCACAATATGGTGTCATGAAAAAAACTGGCATTTTTTTTAAAGAAAGGACCAACTTTATTTGACCAGTAATAGAGAACAAAACTTCCCATATGTAAGTTTATTCATTCTTTTATTTAAATTAGACATATTCAGGAAGAATGTCAAAGATTCCAATAAATTTCTGTATGTAAAATTATTTTATATATTTTACTCAAGGATGAGCATAGTATATCTTTAACCTTCAGTGAACAATATCATATGACACATATATAGCCTCATTACTGGGTTAAGTAGGCTTACATTCGCCTCCAAATGAACGAGCTAAACATTTATGAAATGGGTTATTTCATTAACAACAGTTCAACAACAAAATATATACCATTTCTGAAATTTAATCAACTATTGTCAAAAGTCATTTTGAAAATTTACAATAAAATAAAATGCAAGTAATATATGATTAATATCACATTGATAAGTTATAATGTAATAATCATTCTCAATATATTTCACTTATTTTGTTCTTTAATGAAATTACAGGCCACATTAACTGCACTTCTTGGCACTTACAATGTCGTACTGCAGCAATCCAGTTTAACTGCTACAAGAAAATAAAACCCATGCCCACAAAGTGACATATGCATTATTTAAAGTGCAGGTGGGCACTAGGATACATGTTTTAGGTATTAAGATATCACTCATATGATAACAGCATGCCAATTCTCCTTAATCTACATCACACATGCAGAATAATGAATCAAAATTTTGAGATCTTCATAAGATGTCAAGTAATAAAATAAAATAGAAATGTTTGATGAAGTCATGCCCAAATGGTTCAAAACTCATGACTTGAAATAAAAAAAATGGCAGTCAATTCCATAGGCAGCCAATTCCAGACTAGCTTATTTCAATAAATCGCTTCTTGCACATCATTCCTGTAAGTTAACCTTGTTGAGCATTCTCTATAAAGTTGAACATTTCCTTCAAGTCTGGAGAGGCTGGGGTTTCTTTATTACAGCCTGAAAATAAATATGACAAACATTCAGATCATGTTATATTTTACTGACATTTCTTGATGTATTAAATCAGCAATACATTTGTATTAACACTTTCCCTGCTAAATATCTTCAATGAATTTGTTCATTTTTACAATGTGATAAGGTATGGGAGTGTAACCATAATCCGGAACATACAGTATCTGGAAGGTACGAGATTTAGGCTTGGCAAGAAGAGAACCATTCCTAGCCGCAATCTTGTATGAAAAAGCATCACCTTATAAATTCACTAACTATAAAATTCAACATGATATAAAAATTCTATTAGACTGAAATATTTGTAAAAATAATAACCAAAACAGTCTTTGTTTACTGTGAAATCTTGAACTTAATTTCGTGGGCATGAACTTTTGTGGTTTTGTAACAAAGGACTGTTGTTTTTCTTCCCCAAAAAATAAAATGTAAATAATGGGATAACTTATAACAGACGAAATAATTTTTTTTTACATTCATGGATTGACCTAACCAAGAAAACCACGAATATGAGGTCCCCACAAATAGTTATGATTTTGCAGTATACGAAAAGAATAATTGAAATGCATTTATTTTCCAGCGAGCCCAATAACAACAGAAAGTTTTTTTTATTTACCGTCCATTGTAGTGGAAGCTCGCCCTCTTGCAGTATACAATCTACTTGTGAGAAGATGGTGATTTCTTGTCGTACTTCTGGTTCATCATTCTCACTGTTCCAGACCAGAACCAGACTTGGTACCTTACGTTCACGCTTGAAAATCTTCTCTTTTATTGGCAGTTTCTAAATGCAATTAAAACTTCTTAGTATCAGATGACAATTTTCAAAATGGTTTGGAAATATAAACTGAGTCACTTTATATACGACATGCCAAAAATATTTATAACAAATTGATAATACAGCAAGCATCTTTTTTTTATAGAAGAAAGTAAAATTTCTACATAAATCGACTGCAGCCATATATATATAACTATATATATATCACAATTATTCAATAAAAAGCGATGTTACAAAGGTGCAGTACTATTAAAGCCGTTCTAATAATCTAATGTAATAAATTTTCCTTAAGTTATATGTTGTATCCTTTCATGGAAATTTTCATGTTTCTGGCAGGGCTAAAATCCACATTTGTGGATAATAACTAGAAATGTGTCCATCGGACACGGGTGCCCCCACCGCGCCACTGTTCTGTCAATCTTATGACTCTAGGTCAAATATTTTTTGAAAACTAAAAATCTTTTTACTAAGTAAAGGGCAAGAACTTTACAAATACTGAATAAATCCCCAAGCAAACCCCAAGTTGAAGATTGCAAATTTATACTACTGTAAGTCAAGGGCAATAACTCCACATGCAAAGTCCCAGGTTCATAGCTTCACAGTGATGTGAATCATTATTCCTGTAATTTAGTGATGATGATCATAATTCCTGTAAAGTTGGTCGATTCTAACTCAAGCACTCAAGGAACAAATAACAACATAATGAAACAGTTTTTACTAAGTCAAGGGAAATAACTCTACAAATACTGGATAAATCCACAAGCGAAACCCCAGGAACAAACTAAATATGCTGAGCAACTTCCCCATAAGGTTTAATGACTCTATGTCAAATCCTTTTTGAGTTACATGCGACACATGTTGAAAATTGCAAACATTTTCTAAGTCAAGGGCAATAACTCTAAAAATACTAAATTAATCCAGACGAAAATACCCCGGTGCACAACTACACATGCTGATCAACATTCCTGTAAAGTTTCATGACTCTAGGACAAATACTTTTTGAGTAACATGCGACACAAGTTGAAAATTACAAAATTTTACTAAGTCAAGGGCAATAACTCTAAAAATACTAATAATATCCAGACGAAAATACCCAGGTGCACAACTACACATGCTGATCAACATTCCTGTAAAGTATCATGACTCTAGGTCTAACACTTTTTGAGTTACATGCGACACAAGTTGAAAATTACAAAATTTTACTAAGTCAAGGGCAATAACTCTAAAAATACTAATAATATCCAGACGAAAATACCCAGGTGCACAACTACACATGCTGATCAACATTCCTGTAAAGTATCATGACTCTAGGTCTAACACTTTTTGAGTTACATGCGACACAAGTTGAAAATTACAAAATTTTACTAAGTCAAGGGCAATAACTCTAAAAATACTAAAAATATCCAGACGAAAATACCCAGGTGCACAACTACACATGCTGATCAACATTCCTGTAAAGTTTAATGACTCTAGGTCAAACACTTAGTTACATGCAACACAAGTTGAAAATTACAAAATTTTACTAAGTCAAGGGCAATAACTCTAAAAATACTAAAAATATCCAGACGAAAATACCCAGGTGCACAACTTCACATGCTGATCAACATTCCTGTAAAGTTTCATGACTCTAGGCAAATACTTTTTGAGTTACGTGCGACACAAAAGAGAACGGACGGACAGACAAGGGTAAATCTAAATGCCCGCCACTAATGTGGGGGCACAAAAATAGCAACTTTAATCACCTAACACTCATATGGTCTAAAGATAGACCTTGTTTAGTAAGCATGAATGAAATTAAAGTTTATATACTTACATCACAATAGACACGCTTTGTGACACCAAGTTTGAGCACAAATATATCAAATGCTTTATCTAACACCCCCATCACCATGGCTTTCTCTTCTAGTGGCCCAGCAGTCTGTACACAGAATATAATATCAACATCTTACCCTCTACATATAGAGGATATTGAATGAGTGTAGATTCAATACTAAATTTAACTAACAAGTTGAATAAAATCATATAATGCGACCCTCTGGTGAGCATAATATTGTTTTATTTAACAAGTTCAATAAATTTAGTATTGAATCTACATGAATATAATATACTATTTATCACATATATAAAATAAGAATGGTAAACTGTTAAAATGAGAAATTTTTCAATAATGCGCCTATAGCGTAACGCTAACATTAGCGCCCTTTAACGCTATGTTTATATATCACGCAAATGATATCAAGTCAAAGTGTTATTACACTAGTGTAATATCGTTTTTATTAAATGGCTTTATTACACTCCTGCACCGTGGTTTATGTGATAATATAACATATATATCATCTTTGTATACTGACAAGATGCTTTATTAAATCAACTAGTTTTTGTCTTATCTATTGACCTTACGGTATACTGTATGTGTAGAAATATTCGCGGGCTTTAAATTTTCGCGGTCTTCGCGGTGACATTTGATCCGCGAATTCATTTTCAGCGCGAAAATATCTACACCAATAATTTCTTAATAGTCATATTTTCGCGCATCTATAGAACAATGTATATCAGTGTGTTCACGGCTGCCATAAGTCTTGTATCCGTGGTGCTTTCAAAGCATGATTCTACTGTTGTATAAACTGTTCATTTAACATTCACCTCTGTATATAAATCAGTTTGCTAGTGTATTATTATTATTGTTGTTTCAACTTGTTTGACTGATATGATTAGCGAATTCTTGTATGAGTATATATTACATGTTTCAACAATACCATTGCATCACGCTATTTATTTCATTGTCTGAGTCATAAACGAATCAACATCTGATCAGATTATATTTTGTTTTTCTAAACAAACAATACAAACAACACAAACATTAACGATTTTAACTGATGAAAATATAGAAAACAAAACACAATTACTCAGTAAACATTTTAACAAAATCGGTGAAAAGATTATGTTGTCATTCATTGCTGTTTAAAACTGTGAAAAAATCATGCACGTTAGCGGACATTCTTATGTTTGTCATAATCTGTCCGCTAGACAAATTGAATGTCTTTGATCTGTAAAATAGCGTATTGCTTGACACCAGGCGTTGAAAAAAAAACTGTGAAGTCCTACAATGATTACAGTAATGAAAGAGGGCTGCTTGCGAAAACCATTGCCTAATCGTGTAAGAGTAATTTCCCTTATTTTTTTACCTGATGGGTGTACGCGAATTTATGATTTTCGGCAGTCACCTCCGCGAATTCAAAATAGCGCGAATATTTGTATATACCCCCAAAATGGACCTTTCCGCGAAAATTTGCTTCCGCGAATTTAAATACACATACAGTATCAGGATGTTCATTATATGTCATAACATATTAGTTTTCTTGTGCTTATTTCTTATAATCATTCAAATTAGAACTTTTTAAAAATACTTCAATGGCAAATTTCAAAATATCTCTAAAATAACATCAATTTTCAAAATACAAAAAAAATGTTACACTTTTCAGGTGTAATGAACATTTTCATATGTAAACTTGTAAAAACAGAAAAATTAGTGGAAGACCTGACAAATTTCCCTGCCTACCCATTTTCTCTATCTTGATATTGTTTTTTGTGAGTGCAAAATTCAAAACTGGACAAAATAATCCAATAAGGCAAGAAATAATAAAATACCTTTACAAAGACAGCAAAGAAAAGTTCACTACTGAGTTCACCAACTCTCTTGGCAGCTGTTTTCTTATCATTACTATGGTCTGCCAATTTCTGTATCTCTCCAGGACTCTTAGATGTCTCTTTCAAATAACCTGAAACAATGACATTACACATAGGTTTTCTTCTTTAAAAATAAGTGATACATATTTAATAACTATCTCTTTTAATGGATGTATGGTTACATGTTAAAAATCCTGTCTTTCAAGTATTGAAGCCATAGGTCAAAGGTTTGTGTCAGCATCAGGTGAGGTTTCCTCATATGTAACAGTTTACCGGAAAACTTTGTATGACTTCATATAATTTTGTTGTTTTCATTACCCCTTTTCCAAATTTGCAGTACTGCTAATATCAGGCCAGGCAACTCTGAACTTCTAAGTATTTACAGTTAATAAATAAAGTGTTTGTTTGTTTGTTTTTCTTTCATTTTACGCCTTTTCCCAACAGTATTTCAGTCATATAGGCGGGTAGTTTCCTAACCATCGTTCCTGGAGAGTTATACCAGTACTAGACTACCTTTCTTTGTGCTAAACTACCAAAGCATCTTCCGGGGATCAAACCCACGCCAGAGAGGTAACTGGATTAGAAGTCATTGACTATAACCCTTCGGCCACGGAAGCGGTAAATAAAGTGTACAAACTGGTGGGAGTGCACATGATTCTACAGTATTATCACTGCGAGCATTCATAGAGCTAGCAAAAGCTATCAGCAAGACGGCGTGCTTAACTTTTTTCAGTGCTTGATAGTAAGCCTAGACAATGTAGAATTTTCTAAGTTTAAAAAGGGCCATAATTCTGTCAAAATCTCAAAATCTATGTTAAAGTTATGGGTCTTGGACAGTGACCACCTATTATGCTCTCAAATATGTATGTAAAGTTTCAACCCATTCCCTTCAGTATTTCTTGAGATACAAACATGCACGGAAAACCTTAACAAAAATATTATGCCTTTGCCTGGGTGACTACAATACCTCGCCCTATTTTTTGAATAGTCCAGCTAAAAAGGCAACATATTATTTAGCGCATAGCTTATAAATCAGGTAATAACTTACCAAAGCAAGCTGCTAGAAGTCTGTGGACCATTACATCTGGATACCTTCTGATTGGACTGGTGAAGTGTGTATATAATGGTACATTGAGAGCATAATGACGATATAGACTTTCATCATCAATACAACCTGTACAGAAATACTTGGCATTCTGTAAATAAAACAATACTTTTAACCCTTACCCTGCTGCAACCAGAAGTGATTTGTCCTGGCCACCAGTTTATAGCCAAGCCAGTCTGTACATCCATACAGTCCTACCAGGCTCTATTTCGTTGGGAGTTTCATTTTTTGTATTTTATTAAGGTAGTCATACTGTAATGCTTTCCTGCCAAACATTTCTAATATCGGTAAATATCATAAAAAATTGGTAATTTCCTGAACGTTATTTTACACAATATTTGGTATTCAATCATTTTCAACCATTTATAACCAGAATTTAGTACATAGAGATAAAGGATAAATGATTGTTATGTATTTTAATACCAAAGATTTTTGTAAAAAAAAGTTCCTGAAATAACAAGTTTGCTACAATATTGGCCGATATTAGAATTTCTTTGGCAGGAAAGCAATACAATAAGTCTACATTAAATAAAATCCCTTAAAATTCAAATGGAATGCTCCAAATTCAAGGGCAAATCAATTACACAAATTTCGTAGGCTAAGAATTGATATCAGCTATAGTTAAAATAGATTCTGACTGTATCGTATACATGTTTGTGTTGTAATGAAATCATTATGGTTTTTACAAACAGAAAATCTTACTTGAAAATGAAAAAACAAGATATTCTTAGAAGCATATTTATATACTTAACTAATGCTTGTCTAAAACAGTAATTCAGTTCACTTCTTAGTTTTTTCTATATTCACTTAAACCCTTAAAAAATGTTTTTTCCCATTACATTGTCATACTTTGTGTCATGTGTGAATTCATTTGCCTCCTTCAATATTCTTAATCTTCATATATATAAACATGTTTTCTTTTTATTTAATAGTAATGATAAAAAGCATTCAATGATGAACAATATGGGAGGAGACAGAGTGACAAATATGGGAAATATCTCACTGTTAACTTGATCAGTATTTACATATTTCACATACATACATACATTCATTGGTTTAGAGCAGAGAGCAACTAGAACTTGCATCCTGGCCTTGGAATCGTCATCATCACCACAATATGATCTCAATGATCTCTGAAATCAAGCAAGATGGAATCATTATTATTTTTAAGAAGAATGCTCGACATAGATATAGCTGTTCATTTATGATGTCATCCTTAACAGACAGATGACAGCATCATATATTACTGCTGTAGATAATACATTTGTAAAGATTTCTATAAAACAATACACCATACTCGCTGATAAGTTTATTTCTCAAGGTGGGTTTTAAGAAATAAATTCATCAAGCTCTACCATCAAAGGAAGATTTCAATGATCAATAAGTTTGCTTCATTACTTTTTCTGGTGAAATGGTGAAACAAATGGCCCGAAAAGGAGGCTACACTGAAATGGAATAACAGCAAGAAATTTAAAGGCATGACCTAATCAGTTCAATATAAAGTGGTTATGTTTAATTAAGGCCTTGTTATACAATAAACAGTTATATGTATATATATTTATATACCTGTAATGCACCAGCACTGGAAATGTCTAAATGAATTCCTAGAGCAGCACACTGATCTTTCTAAAATATAAAAAAAAAAAATCACTTAGCCTTATTTTTTTCAACCAAGGGTGTATTATAATTGTTCATGCAAGATCAAAATAACAATAGAGAATATGTATGTCCACCTAGGAAAACTCAAGGGTGGGTTGACATCTTTGTAAATTTTACATGGTGGTTTTTGTCCAGTTGGGTTTTGTGTATCTCCCATTAAAAATAAATCTAACACATGATTTACTAACCAGCAAATTAATCTACAAACCAAATTTTCCACCATTTTCTCCTGTGGTGGTGGATGTCTTCTCAATAAAGCTTTATCTGGAAACTCTCTATTTATCTTATCAGCCACTGCCATGTTAGCTAACAACATAAACTCTTCTATCAACCTGGAAACATAACAAAATATTAAATTACATATTTGATGTCTTGGTATTTGTTAATTTGTACATTTCTGTTATACATTTGCAGACCATTCTCTACAATACAGATCATGAATAATGTACCAACACATAATACATTTGTAATAGTATACATGGAATAAGTTTATGAGCTGTCTATATAACTAAACTTAAATGATTGTGAATTACAAATGGTGCACAACATATTATTTGCTTGGTTATTTTGAATGCCAACTTCAACACATTTTTGGTCATATCTCTGCCAAACATCCACCAAATAGACTTTTCAGGAAAACTTGGCAGAATTTCTCTGCAAACAACCGACTATCAATCTCACTTGATTACTAAGAGGCATTTTACCAGTAGACTCAGCATGTGAGATAACATAGGAATTTTGCCTTAGTTAAGGATTGAACCAGAGACCCGTGTGTAAAAAATTGAATGTTTCTAAGGGGTGGATTTTTCTTCAATCAAACTCTCTAATAAATCAAATCCTTTGATAAATATGTGTTATGTTCTTGGCGAGATAATCAAAAGTACAGTATATATCTCAATTCTTACACTTGTATAGCAATAACAAAAGTTTTGTATTTTTTTCAGCTAAACAGCTTTCTATACAAATGAAAACAACAAGTGAATGCATTTAATTACTAAGCCAACTTAATTACCTGTTGCTGTCCCTCTGTTCATAGACCCAGTAACCATTAGGTAATCCTGTCTCACTATCTAGACTATACTGTAGTTTTAACTGATCTAACCTCAGTGCCCCACCATCCATTCTAGCCTTACGTAAATTTACAGCTATCTGTAATACACAAAACATGTTGTAGTTACAAAATAATATTTGTTTCTATTATTTTTAATGGTTGAGAATTCTCTCATTGCAAAACATAACAAATGATCAAGCTGTTACAAAATGATAGCATTATATGGTCTCAAGATGTGAGTGGGGGTTTTATATGGTCTCATGTATGTGGGTGGGGGTATTATATGGTCTCTTATAATACTGCACGTTTGTAATGTCGCTTTTCATTGGATAATCCTGACGTTTATATAGATTTATATACATGGCTGCTGTCGATATCTTACTTTTTCTCCACAAAATGATGCTTGCTGTATTATAAATTCATTATAAAGATTGTTGCCTCGGGGCTCAGGTTATATTTACGAACACCCGTTTTTATAAGGCCATATAACATGTCAACAATCTTTATAACTAATAATGTATGTAGGTGGGGCTATTATAGGATAATATTCTACCTGTCCACAACTGAGCCTCAAGAATAGCAATATATATCAGAACACTGTTCATAATGCGTGACGAGAACTCTGACACTGACATGAGCGTTATAGCAATGTGCCAGTGTATTTCACTAGGAGGTCTTTGGGATAAAAGGAAATAGTGTTAAACATTCTTGATGTTTACAATCTCCACCATACATATACATAAATATTTCTTGAATAAATCATAAGTGAATTAAAGGAACAGAACAGTCTGCTGACAGTGACTGAATAAACCTGCATCATTCTTGTTTTAACTCTTACAAAGACACTTGACTGAGTTTACAGGGTTGACTTTCAAATATGACAATCAATCAATGTAAAAATAAACATACCTTTTGTAGATTAAGTGTTCTAGTTTGTATGTCTTGTACAGTGAAGCCTTCAGATATAGGCGGAAGTTCTTCTTGTGTCCAGACACGTTCAGGTTGTTCTATAAAACCCTGTTTGAAACCAGAACATTAAACATTTAATTTTACCATACAACATTTCTTCTCAAAGTTATAATACCTTTATGTATTTCATCATATTACATCTGTTTGATATAACCCATCATAACATTATTAACCAGATTTAAGACAATGAATGATAACACTTTGGAGATTAAAATATTATCATACCTGTGGTAATACCATGGACTTGCTTTATAACACTTTAAAATATTTATTTAATAAAATGTCCATTAGCAATTATTAACCTAAACATTTTAAATAAATCAATTACTTGTAATTAAAGGAAATATGAACAAATTTACATCATCTTATCAACATGAAGTTTAATAAGTAAGCGCCATATGGTGATTTTCCAGCTTTGCTGGGGGAGGAAGACCTCAGGTGCCCCTCTAGGCATTATTTCAGGCATAAAAGGGCACAGGGGTGAAACCACTAATGTTCTGCAGGCTAGTTGGATAGTTTCCTCAGATGATAGAATCCAAGGTCCCTGGTGGGATTCAACCCACAGCGGTTAGGGGCAGGTGATTTTAAATAAACTACCTTAGACGCCTTATGCTAAGTGTCAGTCTCTGCATAAACATAGCAATAATTTCTACGGCTCATTCTGCCATTTCCCAGAGTAATTCACAGCAAGTCTAGTAAATGACCCAAACTTAACCCATTAAATTAAATAGGACTATATTGCAGTGTAAAAGTATTCTAATGAACTGAAATTACTTAGATTAAAAAGCAACAACAAGTGACAGAATATTTTCACAGAACCAGGTTTCCTGCCAGTATCAAATGTGTGAAAAAATAGAGTTGTAAATCTGCAAAAAAGTAACAAAATTCCAACCGGAGCAATCAATGGGTTTAGTTGAAATCCCTTGAGAAATTTAGAGGTTGCACACAAAAGAAATTGTTTAAACCCATTTGCGCACCCCTGACATTCATCAACTTACCTGAGCATGATCATAGGAGAGTTTAGCACAAGATCTAATCACAGACCTTCCAAACCATTCTTCCTCTATCTAAAAGACATAAAAATATAATTAATGTACTTTTCTATTTTATGAGACATCATCTGATATAGATAGCAGCATGTACTACCGTATCAAGGGAATCTCCTTATACAGCAATCTTTTTACAGTTATAACATAGTGACCTTCATGATCTCAATTAAAATCTAATTCAAAGCAAGTACTATGTTCATATGAATGCAATTGCCCTTACAGGCTGTTGACCCTGGTGACCTTGACCTTTGACCCTGTGACATCAGTTTTGAAGCTGTAGCCATGTTATGGTCATGGTTAAAGTTTTGTGAAAACATTTTAAAAGCACTTTGCTCTTCAGATCAAAATTTATTTTCTTTATTAACATCACTCAGAAAGTTTCAGTGTATCACATATAAAGCTTTAATATATAAATCTTTACCTCTCCTTCCTCTGATATTACCCACTCTACAGAAAATGTAAGTCTGTCAACATCTGGATTTAAACTGCACAGTTGTTCACATAGTAACCGTGGTAACATTGGAATAACCTATAAACAAATAGACAAGTGTATACATCATTTAACATACCCATGGTTTGCTGTTTAATCAAGAGGACTCAGTTACTTTTTAATAGAAGTCAATTAAGAACTAATTACATATACACAGTTTCTCCTTCAGGCTCTCATTTCCTATAAGTTACACTGACTGACTATAACATTGCATTCTTTCTTTATACATTAAAAAGGTAGTTCATATTTAGGGGACTTTGGTTAATACAGAATTTATTTCAGTTCTATTTTAGTAGGAAGCCAAAGGCTTATAGACACACTTTCGAACCTGTTCCTGAAACCAACCAGTACTGAGCAGTAAGTATATTTTCTTGCTCAGGGAAACAACAACTTGCCCCTGATGGGGTTTAAACCCATGTGACTCCATTTAAAGGGATTTAAAGGAAAACGTTCAAATTTAAAACCTAGATCTGTCACATTTTCATTGATGGCCCTGAGTATTGCTGTTCATTGCTGTGAGAATCCAACCAAAGCAAATTTGAATTTAACATGAAATTAGATTTACTATAACCAGAGCATATTAACAGATCCTAATGAGGTTTTATCAGCTAAGGATATGATGACTTTGGGCTGATCACACATAGAGAAATTTTATACAAAAACTTACTATGTTTTTTTAAAGGTTTGATAATGCATAAATTGGCTTCAGCTATGTATATATCCAAAATGTAGTTGATTAAGTAAAAGAGAGGTCACTTTTAAAATGAAACAGTACCTTATGCACCAAATAAACACTTGTAGATCTAAGGGCTGCAACTCTGTCAAGAACAGAATTTTCCTCTAAGAAATAACTAACATCTGCGATATGAACACCAACTCTGAACCGTCCTGTAGATGAAAATAAAATTGTAACAATCCATAAAACACAGTTAAATCATGCATTTGTAAACAAATATGAATTAGTTTATCAAAATATATTCATGTAGAAGATAAATTGAGATATTTAACTCACATTACATTTTTAGAAAAAGTGACATTGAAAACTAGGACTTTTCAGCAATACTGGTAGAAAAGACACTGCCATTCTCCTTGTGGGTTTTAAAACTAAAAATAGTGATAAGTACTTTTATAATGTCACTTTAACTGGGTTGATAAAATTAATATTTTTGTATAAAAAAGTCTATGAAAAAGATTAGAAAGTAGCAGCTAAAAATATATACATTTTACAATGTAGACTTCAGTGATTATTCATCTTAAATGACAGAAACTTTCAAAAGGTCCCTTCCAAATCAAAATTTTCTTTTAAAATCATGCAGTTTTCCCAAATATCTGAATTGACACCAGCTTTCTTTATTTCCGAATTAGCAATTTTACTAATAATTATCCCAAAAATTATGAAGCCAAGGCCTCTTCCCAGTTAAGTAATAAAAAACCACAGCTAGTAGTTTGAAACAACTTACAATAAGAATGATATTAGAGAAAATTCAATATCAAACCTGACATGCTTGTATTATATCCAGTCACAATACACTTGGATAGACACATAAAAAAAATTAAAATGTAGCCTTACCATCACCCAGGTCTTCACAAGAGAGGGCATCATCTAAATCTCTAGCTGTAGCTGGATCTACAGTGAACACACAAGATGAACGGTAATCTTTCCTATACTCAAACTCTTCCTCTGGTATCACCCAGGGACTTTCTGTAGGTAAACAGTCTAATGCCTGAAGAGAAAATAAAGGAATAATGCATACAAAATTAAGGGTGAAACAATTCAGTTTTTTCTTGATTCAATTTTAGATTATTGCTTTGTGATTTGATTAATTTCGATTCAATTACTCAGACTAATATAACATTTATCATTCTATAGGAAATACTTGAAAAAACAATATTTAGCTACACTGAAAAACTACATACTTTAATGACCAATTACTGTCACCAATTTGTGGTTTGTCTTCCATTTTTAAATAATATATATTAGTGTGTTTTGATTATATAAGCAAGAAGATCTACCCAATGAAAGAAATACTTGCTAAGAAAACGTTTGTTTAATATCAGAAAGAAGAGATTTTTCCAAAGAATGTCATTGTTGACAACAAATCAAACTGAAATACGGTCATGGCAAATTGGGAACTGCAACACAGATATGCCAATAAAAACTGTGTACACATCACCATTAAACCATAAGAAAATTGCACTGTGTAATTACTTTCTTGGTTGCCTTCACAATATTTTACATTAACATTTTCAAAATGTTCATGAAAATAAGCATGAAAATAAGCATGCTGCCTTTCCTGCAGGGACCAAAAGTACTTACCCTTTGTCACTAGTAAAGAGCCATCAACTTCTGTGCAGTTTGCCAAGTCTCTATGCCGTTGGTAGATAATCTTTCTGCATTTTGATATTGAAATCTTTTGAACTTGAAACAGCCTGCTCCAAATTCAAATAACAGCACATCCATTACATAAATTGAGCAGGCAATGGTTGCTAAATGAGTAATAACACTTACCTCCTGAGGGAACTCCTCAAAGTCAACACCATTTTCAATGAGCATTCCCTCAGTCTCTGGTTCAATTTCTCCAGCTTCACCTAAACTCTTGGCCAAACATCTGATAATATAACAATAATAACACTACATGTAATTTCTGGCTCGCAAGTTTTACCTTTTGTAAAAATGCATATTTATTTTGTATTAATTGACTTTGTTTATATAGCTACATGGCCGTACACTCATTTTAAGAACAAGATAGTATGAAGTGATTCAGCCCCTATCAAAGATAAGTGACAAGTAACTTTTTCTTCTGCTTTGTTTTCTTGCTAACCCTGTTGCCACCAAAACTTCATTTATTGATGAAGTTTTTTAGTGACTTTATCTTTACAAAATCTAGACAAATATTATAAAAGTACTAAAATTTGATAATTAGATCTGGTCTGGCTGAACAAAGATACTGAATAGACTGGCTAGTTAATGATAAACTTGACCTTTATTAAAGCTACTAACACTCACCAATTTATGTTGAAACATACAATACTAACTAATTGAGCCGCGTCACGACAAAACCAACATAATGGGTTTGCGACCAGCATGGATCCAGACCAGCCTGCGCAGTCTGATCAGGATCCATGCTGTTCGCTTAAAAACCCTATTGCAAGTAGAGAAACTGACAGCAAACAGCATGGATCCTGATCAGACTGCGCGGATGCGCAGGCTGGTCTGGATCCATGCTGGTCGCAAACCCATTATGTTGGTTTTGTCGTGACGCGGCTCATTTATATTTCTAACGTATTTATATCTTACCCTTCAGCATAGAAGCTATCTTGTTTCCAGTCTGTTATTCTACACACATACAATGTTTTACTAAAGTCATCAGGTCTTTCTATGAAATCTGAAATAAACAAATAACCGGTGTTTAAAATATATGATGCAAACATGATTGAAATTTTTTTTAGCATAGCCACATAAGTAATATACAATAGCTGCAACTCAAATATTCTCAGTGCTAAACTGTAGAACAAAGGGCCTGCTGATGTGAAAATAATTGTTATATTTATCCCCATTTTTTTTCAGAAAAGGAAAGGATTTTTTAAAAAGTAGGATGTTGGGGGTTATTGCTCAACAAATTTACACAAATTCTAAGAAATAAATAAATAAAAATATATAGATTTTTAAAGGAAAATATAAATTGTAAAGATATTTTGCCCACAATATACATGTTCAAATTTTTTTTTAAAACTTATTCCATCCTGTGACCAAACAAAAATCAATACAGCTGAATCAATGAGTCAGTGTACTGAACATTGTTGGCATGCAGGTTTTATTTGGTTTTATTTCTCTCTTTCACACTCTTGATTATAATTTAATGTGGAATCTCCTGAAAAATGCATGAATTGCACAATTTGGATTGACACTGCCTCCATAATGTGGATCTTTCTTAAGTTAACAAAATGGTAGAATTTAGTAAAATTCAAAATTACAGGTCTTGGGCAGTAACCAATATATCATGACCCTTAAGACATGTATGAAATTTCAAATGTAAATTGTTATTAGGGTATGACTTGCATGTAAAATCTTTACAAACCATAATCAAGTGTAACGCTGATGCACAAGTTACACATGTTAATTGGACAGCCCTATTATCCTTTAGTCAAGTTTGAAAATCCAGATTATTCCATCTTATTTACCAGTTTTCATGTATCAACAATTATGTATCCCTAACATGCATTTCAGATCAGTTCAGATTTATTCTTAGAATCCTAGAAAATGTTATTTCTCAAGTTTTTGTATCACTGCTACATTGCCAACTAATAGAACTTGCATAAAAACTCGTAATACTTCACCTTTTGGACAATTGCCGATGGGAATCATAACTCTAGGTACTCTATGATCAACAGGTGCAAACAACGCTCTGTCTGAATTCTTATCCCCCATTGGTTTGATAAATCCAGTACTAGCTCTAGAATGTTTCCTCTCTATAATGGCCACAACCTTTCCCGTCCTCTGCAACAATTTCTTAATCTCATCTCTTCCTTTATCAGTCTCTAGTTTATGTTTAGCAGGACTCTGCCCTATCATCATATCATTCAAACTTGTGTACTTCTTGGATGGAGAGTAATTCCCCTTTTTCTCTTTCTGTACTGTTAAATTCTTATTCCCTTCCTCTGGATTATCTCCCTTTTTCACTGTTATTTCAACAATTTCTTCACTTTCAATAACAACTTCAGGATCAGAATCCTGAGAGGATGTCCCGTTGTTGTCATGTGTTGTCATAGACTTCTCAAGGTCCTCTAATTCTTGCTTATTTAACTGAATTAATAAGGTAAAAAGTTCTTAAAGCATATATCAATCCTCCTTGAGTATATCAGACATTAGACAACTGCTCAAAGGTAGAAAAAATCCCGGGGGTTTCCCGGGCTTTTTTTTAAAAAAGTTGGGACCCTTTTTTGTTATTTTTTTGTTTTGGGTTTTACGTTACAATTTGACACAGTTTTGGTCAAATGGAAAGTTCCAGGCTTTACTGGTGGAGGGGAAAACCTCAGGTTCCCTTCTGTGGGATTTTTTTCAGGCACGAACGGGATCTGAGTAGAACCAAACCACCCTTTCCCCTAAAACTACTGGATTTGCTTCCCCACATGAAAGGGGGCCAAAATCCCTGTCGGGATTCGAACCCCCCAGCGGTGAAGGGCAAGTGGTTTTGGGAATCAACCCCCGTTTTAAACCCCTTTGGGCCCACGGGACGGCCCCCATTTAGTTATTTAAAAAACAAAAAAAAAGAAATTTCCCTTTAAACCATTAAAAAATTACTTTTTAATAATTTTTGACAAAAAAAAATCATATTTAAAAAACTGTATTAAAAAATGTATCCCTAAAATTTTTTTTTAAAAAAGAAATATTTCTTACTTTAAAAAAAAAGCTCAAAAAATTTTCTTTCATTTACATTTAAAAAGGGTTTTTAAAAACCCTTCCAGGGCACCTTCATTTACTTAAAATTGGGAAGCTACTATTCCCCATTAAGAGGGACGGGTTTTTCCCCCTTTGTGCCCAAAATAAACCCCCAAAAATGTCCGATTTTCCAAACCTGAAATCATATCAAAAATTTTTACATTCAAGTTTGGAACAATATCACAGAAACCCAAAGTTTCAATGGGCCCACTTTACAGACAAACTTTAGAACTGAAAAGGGGTAAAAGGCCATTTTCCCTTTGTTATTTTTCCTTTTTTATTTAAAAGAGGGCCATTTTGGGCCCTTTCCCTTTTTTTGTTGAAATGAATTCTATAATGTTCTTTTTTGTTCTGTTTACAGTTAGATGGCCCCATATTTTTGTTCTGTTTACAGCTAGATGGCCCCATATTTTTGTTCTGTTTACAGTTAGATGGCCCCATATTTTTGTTCTGTTTACAGTTAGTGGCCCCATATTTTGTTCTGTTTACAGTTAGATGGCCCATATTTTTGTTCTGTTTACAGTTAGATGGCCCCATATTTTGTTCTGTGGCCCATTTTTTGTTCGTTTACAGTTAGATGGCCCCATATTTTTGTTCTGTTTACAGTTAGATGGCCCCATATTTTTGTTCTGTTTTACAGTTAGATGGCCCCATATTTTTGTTCTGTTTACAGTTAGATGGCCCCATATTTTTGTTCTGTTTACAGTTAGATGGCCCCATATTTTTGTTCTGTTTACAGTTAGATGGCCCCATATACCTATTTGGTCGTGCAGATGGACGGAGGGACCAACGGACATCCAACATGCTGCAACTTGATAATATAATAATAACATAATAAATGACAATTACACAACACATTAACATGAATAATATACCATCTTGTCTATGACATAAATACTGTATATTGTAACAGTAATACTTTTGATTTAAACATATAATAAACCAACTTATTCACTATTCTATGATAATACATATCTGGTATACTTAACTCATGAATAAATAAAATAATAAGTTCTTAACAAATGATAAGCAATATTAAAGGCCAATATAAAGACATATTAATTTAGCATTGATCTTGTTTTGTTTCCTTAATAAATATGAGAAACAAAGTGTCATTAACATCAAAATAGTAGTAACTATCTATTTATATAATCAGTGACCAAAAAAGGAGCTAGTTGCCTTAATGAAAAAGAGCCATTGGTAGGAAAGTGTGCTCGACTATTCTCAGTTCTTGATAGTAAATGTACAACACAAACCTTGACAATGTAGAATATTCTAAGTTCAAAATGCGCCCTAATTCTGTCAAAATCCATGTTTTGAGTTATGACTCATAATGTTCCTTAGATAGTGACCTTTTATTATGCCCTCAAATAAATGTCTGAAGCTTCAACCAATTAACTTCAGTAGCTTTGGAGATACCAACTTGCAAACAAAAACATAACCAAAATGTGATGCTGATGCGGTCACCAAGGTGAGCACAATAGCTCTATCTATTCTTAAGTTGAATAGTTGAGTTTAAAACTAAATGTGTACTACACAGAATTTACTATTTTACTCAATCAGCACATACATGTTTTTATAATAACTTAAAGAAAAGTTCAAAAGGACTTTTTTATAGTTTTTATAATCCAACAAGCTGTCATAAAATAAAGTAAGTATTAACACCTACTGGATGTGGTAGATATGACTCTTCAAAATTTTTCGGGTTGATACGAATAGGACCCTGAAATAAAACCAGCAGCATAATCAGTATAGGGTTTGATAACTGATATTTTCCTTTTCTCAACATTTATTCACTTAAATAATGAAATAAAAGATAAACTGTAAATGTTTATAGCAAATTTGGTTATCTTATTTTTATAGTTCAAAAAAACCCCCAAAAAACCAGTAAAATATTTGATATAACAGCAATTTTTAACTGAAATGTTTAGATTTTAAGGGTGCTATTCCATTAGAACGTGATCGGCGTGCGTGATCCTAGCATATTCTACAAATAATTATTCTCTGTTTGCTTTAGTATAACGGATTCATTAATGTACTTATGCAATAATACTCATGGACATGCCCTGGCTTAACAGATTGTAACAGCCAAAGAAAGAAAAATGAGCTGCGTCTTGACAAAACCAACATAATGGGTTTGCAACCAGCATAGATCCAGACCAGCCTGCGCATCCGCGCAGTCTGATCAGGATCCATGGTGTACGCTATCAGTTTCTCTACTTGTAATAGAGTTGGTAAGCCAAACAGCATGGATTCTGATCAGACTGCGACTGCGCGGATGCGCAGGCTGGTCTGGATCCATGCTGGTCGCAAACCCATTATGTTGGTTTTGTCATGACATGGCTCAAATTGTGTTTTCCTTACCTCAATCAAAATTCCTCTCTTTAGACCCTGAGACACCTGGTCCATTGGCATGTAGTCAGCAAATAGATTCTAAAATGGGGGATTACTGAGATTACAAACATGCTTCCAATATAATCAAACATGCAACAGCATAAGAATGTAAAATGCAAAATCATGATTATTTGTGGTAGGTCAATTTGTGATTTTCTTTTTTTTTGTTGGGTTTTACTTCGCACCAACAATGTCAAGGTTAAATGCTGACTTTACAGCCTTACTGATGGAGGAAGACTTAAGTTCCATACGCTAGCTGGACAGCTTTCTCAAATGATGAAACCAAATTCCTTGATTGGATTTGAACCCAAATCGGTGAGGGTCAAGGGCTCTGAAGTCAAAGACCTAACCACTCTGCCAAAGACACCTCCAATCTATTAATTTAACATCCAACAATGTTTAAACAAAGTTATTGTCTAATTGTTTCTTTAATGTCAAATATTAACACAATTTATATTCAATTTAAGCTTTTCAGGATATACAGAAGAATAAATAACCTTCTTTTTCCTCTGTCTTCTACCCTGGCTTTTTCCACCAATGTCTTGCTGTCCTTGACCTTGCATGCCATGACCTTGCATGCCATGACCTTGCCCTCCATGACCTTGCATGCCATGACCTTGCTGTCCATGAGGATGTACATAATGACCTCTGACCTGCTTTTGACCATGATGAACTGGTGTTGAGACTACATGCGGATGATGATGTTGATGATGACCTTGATGGGCTGGAGTAACATGACGCTCATGTTGACC